CATATCTAACACACACACACATACACTCACACATGCGTACGCACACACGCACGCACGGACACATTCTGACTAACACACTCGCACTCATACACATTGACCTCTCTCATTACTGTCGTCTTGTGTAAATCTGGATGTCACCAGAATGTTTGTGAATGTTTCTAATGTGATGATTATCAATGTTATTGATTTCGAAATTGACACCCAATGCCATGTTATAGGATTGACGCCAATAGATATAGATAATATGTAATTGAGTATTCATACAGGCTACACAGATTGACGATGATCCCCATTGGTCTCCGCTTGCTTACCGCAACACTCCATTAAGTGGATGGACGCCAATGTGGCCCCTTCATGAAGCTGTGTGGTCAGGTGCCATCAGGTGTCATCGAGATGACTTGAGGATTTGCAAGCTTGTCCATTCAATTGTTTTTAGACAATTCTGAGATGAACTGACACTTGAAGGCGGATTGTTCTACATAGGTGTCAAAACAGTCTTTCCAACGTCCACGAGAAAGTAGATCTGGAGTGGTGATGATCGCTATTTGTCTCCACTTGCTAACCGCCACACTCCATTAAATGAGATGGGATCGTCTCCTACCCAGCAACTCATGGGTGGACGTCTGAGGACTGAGGACAATTAAGATTGACTCGTACCAGAGATCAGAAATGTGAAAGAAAGAGAAACACAAATTGATTCCAAAAGGAGTCAAATGTGTTACTATGACATATCGCCATACCCTTGGTAAGTTTTAAATACATATGATAACTTAAGAATGAGACAGGGAAAAGATTGGATCCCATACCCTAGAATTATTTTAAATACTTTTAAACACTCACTCACTCACTCACTCACTCACTCACTCACTCACTCACTCACTCACTCACTCACTCACTCACCCAAACACATACTCACTCACTCACTCACATACTCACTCACTCACTCACTCACTCACTTTGGTAGCTCAGCCATACAGGCTTTGGACAGAAAGCACCCACTCTCTCACTTAAACACGTACAGAAACTTCAATGTCAACGTAGTCGTTGGTGATGTGGCGGCCGTAGCCGACGCCACGACTAGCCCTACAATCCGTCCGCTCCTGTCAAAGATTTAAGGTGTTACCTGCCACAGAGAGAAAGAAAATTGACATATAATATAATCAGTCATCAGTTGTTTGGTTGAGATTTGTTCTCGTCATGACAGTGCTCGGATGTTAACATTTCTCCTAAATGCCATTGACAGAATTAGGCTGTATTAGGACGGGCGTTATGACCGAACTGACTGGACTGACAGCACTGACCAGACTGACCAGATTGTCTTGACTGACCGGACTGACTGGCCTGACTGGACTGACTGGACTGACTTGGCTGACTTGACTGACTTGACTGTCTGGACTGACTGACTGGACTGACTGACTTGACTGTCTGGACTGACTGGACTGTCTGGACTGACTGACTTGACTGACCTGACTGACTTGACTGTCTGGACTGACTGGACTGACTGGACTGACTGACTTGACTGACTTGACTGACTTGACTGACTGGACTGACTGGACTGACTGACTTGACTGACTTGACTGTCTGGACTGACTGACTTGACTGACTTGACTGACTTGACTGACTGGACTGACTGGACTGTCTGGACTGACTGACTTGACTGACCTGACTGACTTGACTGTCTGGACTGACTGGACTGACTGGACTGACTGACTTGACTGACTTGACTGACTTGACTGACTGGACTGACTGGACTGACTGACTTGACTGACTTGACTGACTTGACTGACTTGACTGACTGGACTGACTGACTGACCGGACTGACTTGACTGACTTGACTGACTTGACTGACTTGACTGTCTGGACTGACTTGACTGACTTGACTGACTTGACTGACTTAACTGTCTGGACTGACTGGACTGTCTGGACTGACTTGACTGTCTGGACTGACTGGACTGACTGGACTGACTGTCTGGACTGACTGACTTGACTGACTGGACTGACTGGACTGACTGGACTGACTGACTTGACTGACTTGACTGTCTGGACTGACTGACTTGACTGACTTGACTGACTTGACTGACTTGACTGTCTGGACTGACTTGACTGACCGGACTGACTTGACTGACTTGACTGACTTGACTGTCTGGACTGACTTGACTGACTTGACTGACTGGACTGACTGGACTGACTGGACTGACTGACTGACTGGGCTGACTGCACTGACCGGGCTGACTGCACTGACTGGACTGACTTGACTGACCGGACTGACCGGACTGACTTGGAGTGACCGCACCGACCGGACTGACTGGACTGACCGGACTGACTGGCTGACTGACTTTACTGACTGGCTGACTGACTGGACTGACACTGACCGGACTGACTGGACTGACTGAACTGACTAACTGAACTTGGTGTGACGTCAGTGACGCAACTGCCTGATGCCCGGTGATCAACAGATCAACGTCAATGACGGGGCGATGACTTTGTAACCGTGCAGCCTTCATTTTATTCAGACTCGGATCGGATTCCCAACATGAGTATATGTGAAGCCCAGACGCTTAAATCGTAAAACCCAACTCGCTCACTCGCTTCGTCAAGTGTGTTATCACTTCTAATATCACTTCTAATATCACTTTTATCACTCACTCACATTCAAATAATCCAATTATAATTTCCAATAATCAGGCATCAGTTGTTTGGATAAGATTTGTCCTCGTTATGCCAATGTTCGGATGTTTGTTATCAATTCTATTAACAGAAGAGCTGTGTTAGGACGGGCGTTATGGCACACTGCTGGAAGCGATTTGACTTGTCTCTGAACATGGTATAGCTCCAGTGAAGCAACTGCCTAACAGTACGTGACCAGCAGTCATCGCGGTGTTATTTACTTGGCGATAACGTTTGGATCCTGCAGCTATATATAGCATATGAGTGCTAACCCTAAAGTCATCGTTTGTTTTGGCTGGTGACCTAAATTAATACACAACTGCTGTGAGTTGACGATGGTAGTCTACGCGGAAAGTCGATTTCCACGACATAGAATCAGTGCCCACAGAAACATGAATATACAATTAGAAGACATAGAAAAACGTACACACTAGCAGTTCCCACAGAGGCACGTACATACAAGCAGAACACACAGAAACACGTACATTTCAAGCAGCACACACAGAAAAACGTACATACAAGCAGTACTCACAGAAACACGTACATTTCAAGCAGTACACACACAAACACGTTCATACAAGCAGTGAACACAGAAACAGGTACATACAAGCAGTACACACAGAAACACGTACATTTCAAGCAGCACACACAGAAAAACGTACATACAAGCAGTACACACAGAAACACGTACATTTCAAGCAGAACACACAGAAACACGTACATACAAGCAGTACACACACAAACACGTTCATACAAGCAGTAAACAGAGACAGGAACATAAAAGCAGTAGACACAGACAAACGTACATACAAGCAGTACAGACAGAGGAACGTATATACAAGCCGTACACACAGAGACACGTACATGCAAGCAGTACACACAGAAACACGCATATACAAGCAGTACACACAGAAACACGTACATACAAGCTGTACATACATAAACACGTACACACAAGCAGTACACACACAAACACGTGCATGCAAGCAGTACACACAGAAACACGTACACACACGCAGTACATACGATAACACGTACATACAAGCAGTACACACAGAAACACGTACATCCAAGGAGTACACACAGAAACATGTACACACAAGCAGTTCACACAGAAACACGTACACACAAGCAGTACACACAGAAACACGTACACACAAGCAGTACACACAGAAACACGTACATACAAGCAGTACACACAGAAACATGTACATACAAGCAGTACACACAGAAACATGTACATACAAGCAGTACACACAGAAACACGTACATACAAGCAGTACACACAGACACACGCACACACAAGCAGTACACACAGAAACACGTACATACACGCAGTACACACAGAAACACGTACATACAAGAAGTACACACAGAAACACGTACAGACAAGCAGTACACACAGAAACACGTACATACAAGCAGTACACACAGAAACACTTACATACAAATAGTACATTTAGAGGTTAGTGTTGTTGTTAGTTTTGCTATGCAAGTTATGTATGTATTCTTGTCTGAAGCTCAAGTCCCTACCTATGGTTGAACAAGGGTTGGAGTTTGATGCACAATGCACAATGCACAACACGTCACGACAACTTAGGAAAATTAAGATTCTCTTGAGCATCATTCAAATGCCGTGACCAATTACAATCGCTGTATGACGCAAACGTTGTGGTAGAAGTTTGACTAAACGCACCAAACAATGCTATTATTGACAATAGTTGTGTGATATAATGTCAAGCGGCCCGTGAAGATCCGGGATAGAACAGGTCTTCAGCAACCCATTGACTGCCTTCTTGTATGTTGCAATGCCCACTGTAAATACCTACCTTACTCACACGTTGATGCAAGTTTCCTCTTTGAGCTACGGCGCAAGTGTTCAACAGAATATAAGATAAAGGAAATGGGTTTATTCAGTTGGGAGGAATTGTTGCCTACGTTTAAAATAAAAATCACTTCTTATCTTAATCCCGTTTCTTAGAACACATTAGTGGACTAAATAAACCGTGTTTTCTCTTACTGTGTAAGTCTACAAAATCATAATGTAAGTGTTCGTCCTTTCAATCGTGCCTTTATCGAAATGTGTCAGCAGTCTAAACAACACACGGTTCTTGTATAAAGTAATACAATGTGCGAGTTCAGCTTTTAGATCTTACTTCAAACACGGAACTAGAAACTAGTACCTCTACAGGATCGTGCACCACTTGGGCCTAAAAATTAGTAACTGGTATGACAAACACAAAACATGACATTATCAGTTCCTTTGAGAGTGTGAGAGTGATTGACAAATTACGATTTGCTACTTAACTACAAGATATATATTCACGCTAATTATACAAATGGATAGGTTTGTGTTTTACATTTCGGAAATAACGAAACCAAACAATCATGAATTAGTTGAGAGGTCTGATTTTCATGGATGAAGATGTTACACCTGACAAACCATCCCAGCGAAGTGTTTTGTTGTAGAACCGATTGAGTTCTGAGTGGGTGCAGCTCTTGTACCACCACGCCCCTCCACGACTAACAGCACAGTTCCCGGAGTCGGCATCCAGATCCAGGTTCTTGGCACTGAATCTGCTGTTGTTATTATACAACATCCAGTCTCCTGAAAATGAACGGAGACCAATGAATTTCGTTGTATTACTGTATCTTTTAGTTGATAATCTACTCTTATTAATTTACGGGTTTTGGAGTATGAAAGATTGTGGACAGTTTCATGTGCTTCATGGTGTGTAAGGGTTCATACCTTCCAAAGAGATATAGACATTTCATTTATCATATACTTGCTAATGTTAGTGATGCGATAAATCAATCCAATACATATGCAAATGATGTCATCAAGCAGGATACACTGTATTCATAGATGCAATGCCTCCCAATCTAATGCTTGGATAAGATTTGATATGTCAATTTCAAAATGACAAAATAAAGGCGAAGTTTTCGTTAACAGCAGAAATGAGGAATGATGTGGTATCGGTTGAGTCTCATAGTTTCATGACGGAAATGTTTACTTTCCTGTACTTAAACCACTTCAATAAGACAAATTAACTTGTGTATATTTAAAGAGATTGCATAACTTTCTAACACCCATAAAACTGACTTTCAATTTAAAATCAAACTGTTGCTTAAAATATTTAGCGTTCTTACCAGCCGTCCCTGAGTAGTTCCCCACGAACAGAGTGTAGAACTCAGACATGCTGCCCAGATGGAAGCTGTTGTACTCGGCATAGAAGTGACTTCCCGATTTGCTCTCCAGGTCGATCCGCAGCTCATAGGTTTTCTGCTTCGTCAGTCTGTGTATCTTCTCATTTCCTGAAATATGACTCGACTGTACTTTCTACCGTAGGCCTTGAGACTCCAGTCATACATTATATTAATTTAAAACTAAACAATCACGCAATTACGATGGATGGATTGGGTGAATGATTACAGATTAGCACTGTGTGTAGCAATATTGGGAAAAACGCACCCAGTGCATTAACAAAAGGGCCATGGGGCTGTACCCATTGAATGTGCAGCAGCACTATGAACGGTATTAAAGTGCAGGGTTTATAATTGCCTGACATCCGCGTCAATCGAACAGTGGCAGTTCAACAACATGCCAAGATTAACAGAAGGGTTAAGAAACACCATTGGCTACTTGCAGGCAGGGGAATCCCGAGCAGCTGTAGCCACGGTTTTAGTATCCACCCCGACCCAGATCACTACATCCGACTGCGCCACCTACGTGAAAGGACAACCACAGCCACCTCAACCGCATCCCAAATACCCGGACTGCGCAGTTTCGCCGACCAGAGTGTACAAAACCGTTCAAAAGCAGCAGGTGTACGAGCAAGACGTCTCATATTGAATCGACAACATGTTCAACAACGACTGCATTGGTGTCGTCCACACAGGGTATGGCCTCACCTGCGATGGAGAGATGTCTGATTCAGAAACGAATCAAGATTTCTCCTCTTAGCGAGGGGATGGAAGAGCACGGATCTACAGACGTCGGTGAGAACGTTATGCCGGAAACTGCGTACAGAAAGTGGACAGGTTTGGTTGGGGTAGAGTTATGATGTGGATGACTTTCTCTCATCATGGCAGGACAAATTGGGTCCATAGCCAGAGCACTCTTGTGGCTCAAGGATTCATCAACGAAATTCTCCAACCACACGTCCTCCCAAATACAGCCTACGGCAACGGTGTATTCCAGCAGGACAACGCTCAACCGCATACAGCACGGATCACAAGAGCCTCTCTACACAACAACAAAGTTGATGTTTTTCACTGGTACTCCAGATCACCGGATTTGAACCCGATAAGGCATCTGTGGGATGAATTTGATAGACGGCTACGCCGACGGCTCAACCACACCAACAGACGTTGCAGCAGTTGGCATTTGCGTTGAAGGCCGAGTGGGCTACCATTCTCCAGGATGTGACTCGCAAATTCGTCTCTACCTGGACAGGAGATATCCCAGGCCGCTATCGATTCAAACGGCAGACATACGCTTTATTGATGGTAGCTGACCTTCGCATGGGACGTTTTTTTATGTACTTATAACTGAGATGACTACAATCACCATCACTAATTGTTCTCTCCACAACATTTTGTTCCATGCGGTTCCTCGTATAAATGTATTTTCCTACCCCACATGTACACATACACACACACACTGCACACAAAACACACGTGCACATACCCCTTGCTTTATGGCTATAATAATGCTATTACTCACTCACTCACTCACACACAGAGCTGGAGATAGGAACATATTAGGTCGTTATCTCACACACACACACACACAAACGCAGACACATATGGGGATGACGTCACAGATACGCTAAATATTTTTTTCAGGACGAATTGCAGTTTGTACTCACCAAGCCAAAATTCTCTTGTGAGGTTTCCAAATCCATCCATGTATTCAAACCAGGTTCGATAGAAATCTTCTGATCCATCCTGTCGCCTTTGAAAAACCTGTACATTGAAATTTCAGTGTCAGATTGTCAAAATCTAGAGAAATATGTTAATAAACGATGTTACTCAATTTGACAAATAAAAAGAACACCAATAGCAAACACAATGAAGGGAGAAAGTCATGCTGCAAATAGTGTCTCCAACTCACCAGCCATCCTCCACCGTGTTGGGTCATGTCACAGTAGGCCAGAAATGACCCCTTCCCATCTGTCGGCTTGATCCGGTAAATTCCGTCTTCAGCTTCGGGAAACTCGTTCAGGATGCTCCTGCAATCTATTAAACATGAATTTTGCATGAACAAGGAAAATGGTCAATTCTGATTGGTCACTCAGAGGTTTCAAATCATTATATCAAACTCTGACTGAAACAGTTGATTATGACTGCAGCATCAACGCGGAAGGTCATATTAAAAAAACCAACTTCTTTCTCAGTCATAGTAGGTAGGCATACAAACATATCAATATGTAGTTACAGGTTACAAAATCAGTCGTGGTTACTATGTGTTGGGAAAGAAAACGAAGGAAATCAACAAAGAAAGTGTATTTCATGTTTCAGGGACAACAGAGAGCTTGAACTTTTCGCCTTGTTGTAGCTGACTAACGTCATGCTTTTTGCGTCACAACGAGCGTTATGATTTCAAAAGTGGGGCTTGTGGTGAAGTAGATTTTGTTGACTAATAAACTAGTTGTGCTAAATAAATTATACTGATGTTAAAATCAAATTTCGAGCAGAACAAAGCACACTTTATTGTTATTTTCTGTGTTTCTGTTATTGCAGACAACAACTTTACTCAATTCTGTCAACAAAGTATTCGCGCTTGAACCTTCGTAGAAAGGATACACACGTACTAGGTTACTGTAGATGATGTTGATGGAATTTTGTAACCGAACCCACGGTTACTTTTATCTCCTAAACATGATACACGTCAGTACCAATACCACAGCCATGTCACTAGGACTAGACCAGCCTTTACGTGGTCAGTGCTGTAAAGATGTTTGCAAACCCACTTAAGATAAGCTCTTCAGTACTCAAAGATGGGACACATTCGATGTGAGTAAAATAGGTCTGGATCAGATCAAGCACTTGTTGATAAGCTGGAACACAGAGTAATCGGAAGACAAAACTAACATGGTACGAATGCCGTGTGTGGGATGGCAAAGTGACGGCTGCTAGTTACTCACCACTGCGCATGTCCGTGTTCCCACAGGTTTCATCCCTGGAAGCCAGAAAGTTGTCCATGGATGACTTAAAGGTGTCGTAGTTGTCCAGAACCTGACAGTAGTCACCGGATATGTTAGCATATCCACAAGCACACAACAATGCTACACAGAGACAAAGTCGGAACACCATGCTGTTGACACAGACTGTATGTCATCCGAGTGAATGTATGCTTGACTGTGGGGTACTTTATTTTTATAGGCAGACTTTACTGTCAATCAAAATACTCTGCACATGTAATATGAATATGAGTCACGTGACTGTGACCATTTGTATATTTATATGCTGCATTGGTACTTGTACATTGAACGTACAAACAATACCGAATGAATTAAGTTTCAGCTGTGACTGAAGTAGGCCATTAGCCCGGTCCTCTCTAGCATCCTTCTCATCCCAATGCACGCACTTGTCTATCAATTGTCTGACACTTATCTACACATTGTCTACCACTTGGTTAACAATTGTATAATCATTGTCCAACATTTAACAAAATGAAATCGCGTTTAAAGGTCAGATGTCCTCATTTACAAGTCTTCATTTAAGTAATGTCTGAACATTGTGATAGGGAATAACTATCCTATCTCATCTACACAAGTACATCGAATGTCTGTTTGTTTATCCCGATTTTATGAGTGTGCTCATGTGTGTGTGAATACGTGTATATGTACTCAGTGAATTGGATAACATATATATACTATTGCTCTATGACAGATGAATAACAGTGATTTAAGCTTATTGTAGAAGCAGTTGTTGTGGATGCTAAGTGGACATTTGACCGACGGCACAAACCAATCCAGTATTCCAGATAATCTTACCAATATCACAGTCATGTATTATTCCATTTCTTGCGTTTTGGTCATCGTGTCAGATCTGATGAATCTTTGTGTAGAAAAATCATTTGCTTTATATATAACAAGTATTTAAAGATCAAATATATCCTAGGATAATAAAAACACGTTGGGTAAAATGAAAGTATTCTTTCTAACTTCTAAATATATTACAGAAGCAACTTGACATAGTCAGCGATAGAAGCAGGACAAAGGTCACTTTGTAACACCATGTTCTCCAACTGCTGCCACACAGAGCATTACAGTCAGTATCGTGTGTAACCACCCCTGTGTAAGTATCACTCATTTTCTCCAACTGCTGCCACACAGAGCATTACAGTCAGTATCGTGTGTAACCACCCTGTGTAAGTACCCATCATGTTCTCCAACTGCTGCCACACACAGAGAATAACAGACAGTATCTTATGTAACCACCCTGTGTAAGTACCCATCATGTTCTCCAACTGCTGCCACACACAGAGCATTACAGTCAGTATCGTGTGTAACCACCCCTGTGTAAGTATCACTCATTTTCTCCAACTGCTGCCACACAGAGCATTACAGTCAGTATCGTGTGTAACCACCCCTGTGTAAGTACCCATCATGTTCTCCAACTGCTGCCACACAGAGCACTACAGTCAGTATCTTGTGTAACCCCCCTGTGTAAGTACCCATCATGTTCTCCAACTGCTGCCACACACAGAGCATTACAGTCAGTATCGTGTGTAACCACCCCTGTGTAAGTACCCATCATGTTCTCTAACTGCTGCCACACAGAGCATTACAGTCAGTATCTTGTGTAACCACCCTTGTGTAAGTACCCATCATGTTCTCCAACTGCTGCAACACAGAGAACTACAGTCAGTATCGTGTGTACCCCCCCCTGTGTATGTACCCATCATGTTCTCCAACTGCTGCCACACAGAGCATTACAGTCAGTACCGTGTGGAACCACCCCTTTGTAAGTACCCATCATGTTTCATCAACCGGTGCCATACAGAGCGTTACAGTCAGTAGCGTGTGTAACCACCCCTGTGTAAGTACCCATCATGTTCTCCCACTGCTGCCACACACATCATTACAGTCAGTATCGTGTGTATCCAAGCCTGTGTAAGTACCCATCATGTTCTCCAACTGCTGCCACACAGATCATTACAGTCAGTATCTTGTGTAACCACCCCTGTGTAAGTACACATCATGTTCTCCAACTGCTGCCACACAGAGCATTTCAGTAGGTATATTTTGTAACCACCCCTCTGTAAGTACCCATCATGTTCTCCAACTGTTGTCACTCACAGTATAATAGTCAGTATCGTGTGTAACCACCCCTGTGTAAGTACCCATCGTGTTCTCCAACTGCTGCCACACACAGCATTTCAGTCAGTATTGTGTGTAACCACCCCTGTGTAAGTACCCATCATGTTCTCCAACTGTTGTCACTCACAGTATAATAGTCAGTATCGTGTTTAACCACCCCTGTGTAAGTACCCATCATGTTCTCCAACTGCTTCTACAGAGAGCAACACAGTCAGTATCGTGTGTAACCACCCCTGTGTAAGTACCCATCTTGTTCCCCAACTGCTGCCATACAGAGCATTACAGTCAGTATCGTGTGTAACGACCCCTGTGTAAGTACCCATCTTGTTCCCCAACTGCTGCCATACACAGGATTACAGTCAGTATCGTGTGTAACCACCCCTGTGTAAATACCCATTATGTTCTGCAACTGCTGCCACACAGAACAATACAGTCAGTACCGTGTGTAACCACCCCTGTGTAAGTACCCATCATGTTCTCCAACCTTTACACACAGAGCATTACAGTCAGTATCGTGTGTAACGACCCCTGTGTAAGTACCCATCAAGTTCTCCATCTGCTGCCACACACATCATTACAGTCAGTATCGTGTGTAACCAGCCCTTTGTAAGTACCCATCATGTTCTCCAACTGCTGCCACACAGAGCACTATGGTCAGTATCGTGTGTAACAACCCCTGTGTAAGTACCCATCATGTTCTCCAACTGCTGCCACACAGAGCATTACAGTCAGTATCGTGTGTAACCACCCCTGTGTAAGTACCCATCATGTTCTCCAACTGCTGCCACACAGAGAATTACAGTCAGTGTCGTGTGTAACCACCCCTGTGTAAGTACCAATTATGTTCACCAACTGCTGCCACACAGAGCATTACGGTCAGTATCGTGTGTAACCACCCCTGTGTAAGTACCAATCCTGTTCTCCAACTGCTGCCACACAGAGCATTATAGTCAGTATCTTGTGTAACCACCCCTGTGTAAGTACAAATCCTGTTCTCCAACTGCTGCCACACAGAGCATTACGGTCAGTATCTTGTGTAACCACCCCTGTGTAAGTACCCATCATGTTCTCCAACTGCTGCCACACAGAGCACTATGGTCAGTATCGTGTGTAACCACCCCTGTGTAAGTACCCATCATGTTCTACAACTGCTGCCACACAGAGCGACACGGGCAGTATCGTGTGTGACCTCCCCTGTGTAAGTACCCATCGTTTTCTACAACTGCTGCCACACAGAGAGCACTACAGACAATAATGTGTGTAACCACCCCTGTGTTAGTACCCATCATGTTCTCCAACTGCTGCCACATAGGGCATTACATTCAGTGTCGTGTGTAACCACCCCTGTGTAAGTAAACATCATGTTCTCCAACTGCTGCCACACAGAGCATTACAGTCAGTGTCGTGTGTAACCACCCCTGTGTAAGTACCCATCATGTTCTCAAACTGCTGCCACACAGAGTATTACAGTCAGTATCGTGTCTAGCCACCCCTGTGTAAGTACCCATCATGTTCTCCAACTGCTGCCACACAGAGCATTACAGTCAGTATCTTGTGTAACCACCCCTTTGTAAGTACCCATAATGTTCTCCAACTGCTGCCACACAGAGCATTACAGTCAGTTTCGTCTTTAACCACCCCTGTGTAAGTACCCATCATGTTCTCCCCAATTCTGCCACACAGAGCATTACAGTCAGTATCTTGTGTAACCATCTTTGTGTAAGTACCCATCATGTTCTTCAGCTTCTTCCAAACAGAGCACTATAATCAGTGTCGTGTGTAACCACCCTGTGTAAGTACCCATCATGTTCTCCAACTTCTTCCACACAGAGCACTAATGTCAGTTTCTTGTGTAACCACCCCTGTGTAAGTGCCCATCATGTTCTCCGACTACTGCCACAAGGAGCTCTACAGTCAGTATCTTGTGTAACCACCCCTGTGTAAGTACCCATCAAGTTCTCCAACTGCTGCCACACAGAGTATTGCTGTCAGTATCGGTGTAACAACCCTGTGTAAGTACCCATCATGTTCTCCAACTGCTGCCACACAGAGCATTACAGTCAGTATATTGTGTAACCACCCTTGTGTAAGTACCAATCATATTCTCCAACTTCTTCCACACAGAGCATTACAGTCAGTGTCGAGTGTAAACACCTCTGTGTAAGTACCCATCATGTTCTCCAACTCCTGCCAGACAGAACACTACATTTAGTATCTTCTGTAACCACCCCTGTGTAAGTACCCATCATGTTCTCTAACTGCTGCCACACAGAGCATTACATTCACTATCGTGTGTAACCACCCCTTTGTAAGTACCCATCATGTTCTCCAACTGCTGCTTCACAGAGCATTACAGTCAGTATCGTGTTTAACCACCCCTGTGTAAGTACCCATCATGTTCTCCAACTGCTGCCACACAGAGCATTACAGTCAGTATCTTGTGTAACGATCTTTGTGTAAGTACCCATCATGTTCTCCAACTGCTGCCACACACATCATTACAGTCAGTATCTTATGTAACCACCCCTGTGTATGTACCCATCATGTTCTCCAACTTGTTCCACACAGAGCACTACTGTCCGTATCTTGTGTAACCACCCCTGAGTAAGTGCCCATCATGTTCTCCGACTACTGCCACAAAGAGCTCTACACTCAGTATCTTGTGTAACCACCCCTTTGTAAGTACCCATCAAGTTCTCCAACTTCTTCCACAAAGAGCTCTACAGTCAGTATCGGTGTACCCACCCCTGTGTAAGTACCCATCATGTTCTCCAACTGCTGCCACACAGAGCATTATAGTCAGTATCTTGTGTAACTACCCCTTCTGTAAGTACCAATCATATTCTCCAACTTCTTCCACACAGAGCACTACAGTCAGTGTCTTGTGTAACCACCCCTGTGTAAGTACCCATCATGTTCTCGAACTGCTGCCACACAGAACACTACAGTCAGTATCTTGTGTAACCACCCCTGTGTAAGTACCCGTCATGTTCTCCAACTGCTGCCACACAGAGCATTACAGTCAGTATCGTGTGTAACCACCCCTGTGTAAGTACACATCATGTTCTCCAACTGCTGCCACACAGAACATTACAGTCAGTGTCGTGTGTAACCACCACTGTGTAAGTACCCATCATGTTCTCCAACAGCTGCCACACAGAGCATTATAGTCAGTATCTTGTGTAACCACCCATGTGTAAGTACGAATCATATTCTCCAACTTCTTCCACACAGAGCACTACAGTCAGTGTCGTGTGTAACCACCCTGTGTAAGTACCCATCGTGTTCTCCAACTGCTGCCACACAGAACACTACAGTCAGTATCTTGTGTAACCACTCCTTTGTAAGTACCCATCATGTTCTCCAACTGCTGCCACACAGAGCATTACAGTCAGTATCGAGTGTAACTACCCCTGTTTAAGTACCCATCATGTTCTCCAACTGCTGCCACTCAGAGCATTACAGTCAGTATCTTGTGTAACCACCCTTTTGTAAGTACCCATCAAGTTCTCCAACTGCTGCGACACAGAGCATTTTAGTCAGTATCGTGTGTAACCACCCTTGTGTAAGTACCAATCATATCTTCGAATTTCTTCCACACAGAGCACTACAGTCAGTGCCGTGTGTAACCACCCCTGTGTAAGTACCCATCATGTTCTCCAACTGCTGCCACACAGAACACTACAGTCAGTATCTTGTGTAACCACCCCTGTGTAAGTACCCGTCATGTTCTCAAACTGCTGCCACACAGAGCATTAAAGTCAGTATCGTGTGTAACCACCCCTGTGTAAGTACACATCATGTTCTCCAACTGCTGCCACACAGAACATTACAGTCAGTGTCGTGTGTAACCACCACTGTGTAAGTACCCATCATGTTCTCCAACTGCTGCCACATAGAGCATTATAGTCAGTATCTTGTGTTACCACCCCTTGCGTAAGTACGAATCATATTCTCCAACTTCTTCCACACAGAGCACTACAGTCAGTGTCGTGTGTAACCACCCTGTGTAAGTACCCATCATGTTCTCCAACTGCTGCCACACAGAACACTACAGTCAGTATCTTGTGTAACCACCCCTTTGTAAGTACCCATCATGTTCTCCAACTGCTGCCACACAGAGCATTACAGTCAGTTTCGAGTGTAACCACCCCTGTTTAAGTACCCATCATGTTCTCCAACTGCTGCCACTCAGAGCATTACAGTCAGTATCTTGTGTAACCACCCCTTTGTAAGTACCCATCAAGTTCTCCAACTGCTGGGACACAGAGCATTTTAGTCAGTATCGTGTGTAACCACCCTTGTGTAAGTACCAATCATATCTTCGAATTTCTTCCACACAGAGCACTACAGTCAGTGCCGTGTGTAACCACCCCTGTGTAAGTACCCATCATGTTCTCCAACTGCTGACACACAGAGCATTACATTCAGTATCGTGTGTAACCACCCCTGTGTAAGTACCCATCATGTTCCCCAACTGCTGCCATACACAGAGCATTACAGTCGGTATCGTGTGTAACCACCCCTGTGTAAGTACACATCATGTTCTCCAACTGCTGCCACACAGAGCATTACAGTCAGTATCGTGTGTAACCACTCCTGTGTAAGTACCCATCATGTTCTCCAACTGCTGCCACACAGAGCATTACAGGCAGTATCTTGTGTAACCACCCCTTTGTAAGTACCCATCATGTTCTCCAACTGCTGCCACACAGAGCATTACAGTCAGTATCTTGTGTAACCATCCCTTTCTAAGTACCCATCATGTTCTCCAACTGCTGCTTCACACATCATTACAGTCAGTATCGTGTTTAACCACCACTGTGTAAGTACCCATCTTGTTCTCCAACTGCTGCCACTCAAATGCCGTGACCAAATACAGTCGCTGTATGACGCAAACGTTGTGGTAGAAGTTTGACTAAACGCACCAAAGAATGCTACTATTGACAATAGTCGTGTTATATAATGTCAAGCGGCCCGTGAAGATCCGGGATAGAACAGGTCTTCAGCAACCCATACTTGTCTTAAAAGCCGACTAACGGGATCGGGTGGTCATACTTGCTGACTTGGTTGATACATGTCATCGATCCCAGTTGCGTGACACCAATCACTTGATTTGTCGGGTCTAGACTTGATTATTTACAGACCGCCGTCATATAGCTAGAATATTGCTGAGTGCTGCGTTAAACAACAAACAAACAAACAAACAAATAAACAAATATAATGTCAAGCAACTTTGTACGACTTTATCTCGACCTCTACACATTCAAGCATACATATTCACGTTCATTTCCAAAAGTTGGAAATGAAATCGACTGTCCCTTCGTTTTAATTCCAATAGACATGCATAGACCAACTATAGAAAGATTTGTTGGAGTTTTTTGGTTTTTTTTGTCAGGAACGTTCAATATGACAGCGGTTTGCACATCATCGATTCTGGGCAAGACCAGCCAGTGACAGACACCAGGAGCCTCGGACTATGCATCGACGATACACTTATGACAAAATGGGTTGCTGAAAACCAGTTCTAACTCAGCTCTTCACAGGTGAAATGTAAGTATTTTAAATGTAGGAGTTGCATTGATGATTGAGTACTGAGTGAAAACACCCTGACCATTGAGTGCAGGGAGTGCAGTTATCAGGTGCATGATCCCCAGTGGTCTAACCTGGTTGCTGGTGATCCGTAGCCAGTATTTCAGTAGTAATTATCTAAGCTGTGTAATTACGTGTGCTTTCTACCTTAGACGGCACTAGCATTCGTCTCTGAATATGCACCATTGACTGCCTTCTTGTATGTTGCAATGCCCACTGTAAATACCTACCTTACTCACACGTTGATGCCAGTTTCCTCTTTGAGCTGCGGCGCAAGTGTTCAACAGAATATAAGATAAGGAAATGGGTTTATTCAGTTGTGAGGAATTGTTGCCTACGTTTAAAGTAAAAATCACTTCTCATCTTAATCCCGTTTCTTAGAACACATTAGTGGACTAAATAAACCGTGTTTCTCTTACTGTGTAAGTCTACAAAATCATAATGTAAGTGTTCATCCTTTCAATCGTGCCTTTCTCGAAATGTGTCAGCAGTCTAAACAACACACGGTTCTTGTATAAAGTAATACTATGTTTACATGACTATGTAACACCAATATGCGAGTTCAGCTTTTAGATACTACTTCAAATACGGAACTAATACTAGTACCTCGACAGGACCGTGCACCACTTGATAAATTAGTGAACTGGTATGACAAACACAAAACATGAAAATATTAGTTCCTTTGAGAGTGTGAGAGTGATTGACAAATTACGATTTGCAACTTAACTACAAGATATATATTCACGCTAATTATACAAATGGATAGGTTTGTGTTTTACATTTCGGAAATAACGAACCAAACAATCATGAGTTAGTTGAGAGGTCGGATTTTCATGGATGAAGATGTTACACCTGACAAACCCCTCCAGTGAAGTGTTTTGCCGTGCAGCCGATTGAGTTCTGAGCTGGTGCAGCTCTTGTACCACCACGCCCCTGTATTAGAAACAGCACAGTTCCCGGAGGATGTATCCAGATCCAGGTTCTTGGCACTGAATCTGCTGTTGTTATGATACAACATCTTGTCTCCTGAAAATGAACGGAGACCAATGAATATCGTTGTATTACTGTATCTTTTAGTAGATAATCTACTCTTATTAATTTACGGATTTTGGAGTATGAAAGATTGTGGACAGTTTCATGTGCTTCATGGTGTGTAAGGGTTCATACCTTCCAAAGAGATATAGACATTTCATTTATCATATACTTGCTAATGTTAGTGATGCGATAAATCAATCCAATACATATGCAAATGATGTCATCAAGTAGGATACACTGTATTCATCGATGCAATGTCTCCCAATCTTGTGCTTGGATAAGATTTGATATGTCAATTTAAAGTGAAACCAAACGTGAATCTATGTTGGAATGTCTCAAAATGACAAAATAAAGGCGAAGTTTTCGTTAACAGCAGAAATGAGGAACGATGTGGTATCGGTTGAGTCTCATAGGTTCATGACGGAAATGTTTACTTTCCTGTACTTAAACCACTTCAATAAGACAAATTAACTTGTGTATATTTAAAGAGATTGCATAACTTTCTAACACCCATAAAACTGACTTTCAATTTAAAATCAAACTGTTTAAAATATGCAACGTTCTCACCAGCCGTCCCTGAGTAGTTCCCCACGAACAGAGTGTAGAACTCAGACATGCTGCCCAGATGGAAGCTGTTGTACTCGGCATAGAAGTGACTTCCCGATTTGTTCACCAGGTCGATCCGCAGCTCATAGGTTTTCTGCTTCGTCAGTCTGTGTATCTTCTCATTTCCTGAAATATGACTAGACTGTACTTTCTACCGTAGGCCTTGAGACGCCAGTCACACATTATATTAATTTAAAACTAAACAATCACGCAATTACGATGGATGGAAACGCTTGTATCAAGGAACTGGGTGAATAATTACAGATTAGCACTGTGTGTAGCAATATTCCAGCAACACTATGATGGGACACGATACATAGAGGTTATCACGCGAGTGTGTTTGGGGATGGTAAATATCCTGCATTAGGAATAAACATTGGATTTAGCGAGCCTTGGCGAGCTAAATACATAGTGTTTGTTCCTAATACAGGATATTTACCATCCCCAAACACACAAGCGTGATAACCTCTTTATCATATAATGTCATTCTTTAATTCTGTGCTTCAAAATCGCTTTCCCTCTCTCACAAACATTACCGAAACATTGCGAGTTTTCCTGGAATGCGCGCATTAATATTTATTACGTCAAAGGGTAAGTGATGTGTCAGTCGGACAGTGACAGAAACCAATATAGTTCCAACTGAAATCTGTTTCTTATACAGTGGCGAAGCAACATATACGCAAAACAACAATTGTTTTTAATTGCCTTTCGCGGCAATCCATCGGTCTGTCCGCTAGAGTAACTGCCCTTTGTCAAAGGGAAGCTACTCTAACCCTAGTCAATGAGACGTCACGGCCACGGTCAGACGTTGTTGACAGTCGGTCGGTCCTGTCATAACGTTAGGAAGTGTAGTCAGATGTACACACAGCGACAAAACGAAACAAGGTAACAATTCAAACATATTTCGGCCAAATCCAATCTTTTTTAATGTGTGGAGAAGGTTTCAAGCTGCAGATATGGTTACTGATCCCGCTTGGCTAGGCCTCGTGCCCTCGCAAAATTGTTTCGAAATTTATATCGCCAAAGTTGCCAAAATGCCTTAGCTACGTCACAGTTAGACACTGATTTTCAGTTTATATGACTGTTCTTTTGATAATGATAGCAATTATCCCTGTAGTTTATCCATATTCCCGATGGTTAATTCTGACTCGATCGCCGAATGACAAGGGCAACGCCATGTTTGTTTATAAACAGTAAAAGTAGTCCCTACTTGACCTTTGATATTTGCATCTTTATCCGCATATGACCCCAACGGATATCGTTTTTATCCGTTGGCTTTATCCTGCCGAGAAACCTACCCATTATATGATAAATCAATTTTACCAATGTGGGGAAACATACGGGTGCAGCGTCATGAGCAAAATACTGCAGCCCGCCCCAGATCACTACATCCGACTGCGCCACCTTCGTGAAAGGACAACCACAGCCACCTCAACCGCATCCCAAATACCCGGACGGAGCAGTTTCGCCGACCAGAGTGTACAAAACCGTTCAAAAGCAACAGGTCCACGAGCAAGACGTCTCATATTGAATCGACAACATGTTCAACAACGACTGCATTGGTGTCGTCAACACAGGGTATGGCCTCACCTGCGATGGAGAGATGTCTGGTCCAGAAACGAATCAAGATTTCTCCTCTTAGCGAGGGGATGGAAGAGCACGGATCTACAGACGTCGGTGAGAACGTTATGCCGGAAACTGCATACAGAAAGTGGACAGGTTTGGTTGGGGTAGAGTTATGATGTGGATGGCTTTCTCTCATCATGGCAGGATAAATTGGGTCCATATCCAGCGCACTCTTATGGCTCAAGGATTCGTCAACGAAATTCTCCATCCACACGTCCTCCCAATTGCAGCCTACGGCAACGGTGTATTCCAGCAGGACAACGCTCGACCGCATACAGCACGGATCACAAGAGCCTCTCTACACAACAACAAAGTTGATGTTTTTCACTGGTACTCCAGATCACCGGATTTGAACCCGATAAGGCATCTGTGGGATAAATTTGATAGATGGCTACGCCGACGGCTCAACCACACCAACAGACGTTGCAGCAGTTGGCATTTGCGTTGAAGGCCGAGTGGGCTACCATGCTCCAGGATGTGACTCACATACTAGTCTCTACCTGGACAGGAGATATCCCAGGCCGCTATCGATTCCAACGGCGGACATACGCGTCATTGATGGTAGCTGACCTTCGCAAGGGACGTTTGACTACAATCACCATCACTAATTGTTCTCTCCACAACATTTTGTTCCATGCGGTTCCTCGTATCAATGTATTTTCCTACCCCACACGTACACATAAAAACACACAAACACTGCACACAAAACACACGTGTACATACCCCTTGCTTTATGGCTGTTATAATGCTATCACTCACTCACTCACACACAGAGCTGGAGACAGGAACATATTAGGTCGTTATCTCACGCACACACACACACACACACACACACACACACACACACACACACACACACACACACACACACACACACACACACACACACACACTCTCTCTCTCTCTCTCTCTCTCTCTCTCTCTCTCTCTCTCTCTCACACACACACACACACACACACACAAACGCAGACACACGTGCGGGCCCGCGCACACACAAACGCAGACACACACGCGCGCACACGCATACACACACATACCACAGACACATATGGGAATGACGTCACAGATACGCTAAATATTTATTCAGGACGAATTGCAGTTTGTACTCACCAAGCCAAAATTCTCTTGTGAGGTTTCAACATCCATCCATGTATTCAAACCAGGTTCGATAGAAATCTTCAGACCCATCCTGTCGCCTTTGAAAAACCTGTACAGTAAAGTTTCAAAGTCGGATGGTCAAAATATAGAGAAATATGGTAATAAAAGCTGTTACCCCATTTGACAAGTTAATGAAACACCAATAGCAAACACAATGAAGGAGGAATGTCATGCTGCAAATAGTGTCTCCAACTCACCAGCCATCCTCCACCGTGTTGGGTCATGTCACAGTAGGCCAGAAATGACCCCTTCCCGTCTGTCGGCTTAATCCGGTAAACCCCATCTTCAGCTTCGGGAAACTCGTTCAGGATGCTCCTGCAATCTATTAAACATGAATTTTGCATGAACAAGGAAATTGGTCAATTCTGATTGGTCACTCAGAGGTTTCAAATCATTATATCAAACTCTGACTGAAACAGTTGATATGACTGCAGCATCACTGCAGAAGGTCATATTTAAAAAAAATACTTCTTTCTCAGTCATAGTCGGTAGGCATACAAACATATCAATATGTAGTTACAGGTTACAAAATCAGTCGTGGTTACTATGTGTTGGGCAAAAAAACGAAGGAAATCAACAAAGAAAGTGTATTTCATGTTTCAGGGACAACAGAGAGCTTGAACTTTTCGCCTTGTTGTAGCTGACTAACGTCATGCTTTTTGCGTCACAACGAGCGTTATGATTTCAAAAGTGGGGCTTGTGGTGAAGTAGATTTTGTTGACTAATAAACTAGTTGTGCTAAATAAATTATACTGATGTTAAAATCAAATTTCGAGCAGAACAAAGCACACTTTATTGTTATTTTCTGTGTTTCTGTTATTGCAGACAACAACTTTACTCAATTCTGTCAACAAAGTATTCGCGCATGATCCTTCGTAGAAAGGATACACACGTACTAGGTTACTGTAGATGATGTTGATGGGATTTTGTAACCGAACCCACGGTTACTTTTATCTCCTAAACATGATACACGTCAGTACCAATACCACAGCCATGTCACTAGGCCTGGAGCAGCCTTTACGTGGTCAGTGCTGTAAAGATGTTTGCAAACCCACTTAAGATAAGCTCTTCAGTACTCAAAGATGGGACACATTCGATGTGAGTAAAATAGGTCTGGATCAGATCAAGCACTTGTTGATAAGCTGGAACACAGAGTAATTGGAAGACAACACTAACATGGTACGGATGCCGTGTGTGGGATGGCAAAGTGACGGCTGCTAGTTACTCACCTCTGCGCATGTCCGTGGTCCCACAGGTTTCATCCCTGGAAGCCAGAAAGTTGTCCATGGATGACTTAAAGGTGTCGTAGTTGTCCAGAACCTGACAGTAGTCACTGGATATGTTAGCATATCCACAAGCACACAGCAAGACCACACAGAGACAAAGTCGGAACACCATGCTGTTGACACAGACTGTATGCCATCCAATTTGAATGTATGCTTGAGTGTTGAGTACTTTATATTTAAAGGCAGACTTAGCTGTCAATCAAAATACTCTGCACATGAAATATGAATATGAGTCACGTGACTGTAACCCTCGTGATATTAATATGCTGCATTACATGTGTATTGGTACTTGTACATTGGTCTGACAAACAATACCAAGTGAAGTAAGTTTCAGCTGTAACCGAAGTGGGCCATAAGCCCGGTCCTCTCTAGCATCCTTCTCCTCCCAATGCACGCACTTGTCTATCAATTGTCTGACTCTTATCTACACATTGTCTACCACTTGGTTAACAATTGTATAATCATTGTCCAACATTTAACAAAATAAAATCACGTTTAAAGGTCAGATGTCCTCATTTACAAGTCTTCATTTAAGTAATGTCTGAACATTGTGATAGGGAATAACTATCCTATCTCATCTACACTCGTACATCGAATGTCTGTTTGTTTATCCCGATTTTATGAGTGTGCTCATTTGTGTGTGAATACGTGTATATGTACTCAGTGAATTGGATAACATATATATACTATTGCTCTATGACAGATGAATAACAGTGATTTAAGCTTATTGTAGAAGCAGTTGTTGTGGATGCTAAGTGGACATTTGACCGACGGCACAAACCAATCCAGTATTCCAGATAATCTTACCAATATCACAGTCATGTATTATTCCATTTCTTGCGTTTTGGTCATCGTGTGAGATCTGATGAATCTATGTGTAGAAAAATCATTTGCTTTATATATAACAAGTATTTAAAGATCCAATATATCCTAGGATAATAAAAACACGTTGGGTAAATGACAGTATTCTTTTTAACTTTCAAAGGTTACTTTGTAACACCATGTTCTCCAACTGCTGCCACACAGAGCATTACAGTCAGTATCGTGTGTAACCACCCCTGTGTAAGTATCACTCATTTTCTCCAACTGCTGCCACACAGAGCATTACAGTCAGTATCGTGTGTAACCACCCCTGTGTAAGTACCCATCATGATCTCCAACTGCTGCCACACAGATCATTACAGTCAGTATCGTGTGTAACCACCCCCTGTGTAAGTATCACTCATTTTTTCCAACTGCTGCCACACAGAGCATTACAGTCAGTATCGTGTGTAACAACCCTGTGTAAGTACCCATCATGTTCTCCAACTGCTGCCACACACAGAGCATTACAGTCAGTATCGTGTGTAACCACCCCTGTGTAAGTACCCATCATGATCTCCAACTGCTGCCACACACAGAGCATTACAGTCAGTATCTTGTTTAACCATCCCCTGTGTAAGTATCACTCATTTTTTCCAACTGCTGCCACATAGAGCATTACAGTCAGTATCGTGTGTAACAACCCTGTGTAAGTACCCATCATGTTCTCCAACTGCTGCCACACACAGAGCATTACAGTCAGTATCGTGTGTAACCACCACTGTGTAAGTATCCATCATGTTCTCCAACTGCTGCCACACACAGAGCATTACAGTCAGTATCGTGTGTAACCACCACTGTGTAAGTACCCATCATGTTCTCCAACTGCTGCCACACAGATCATTACAGTCAGTATCTTGTGTAACCACACGTGTCTGAGTACCCATCATGTTCTCCAACTGCTGCCACACAGAGCATTACAGTCAGTATCGTGTGTAACCACCACTGTGTAAGTACCAATCATTTCTCCAACTGCTGCCACACAGAGCATTACAGTCAGTATCTTGTGTAACCACCCCTGCGTAAGTACCCATCATGTTCTCCAACTGCTGTCACACAGGGCATTACAGTCAGTATCTTGTGTAACCACCACTGTGTAAGTACCCATCATGTTCTCCAACTGCTGCCACACAGAGCATTACCGTCAGTATCGTGTGTAACTACCCCTGTGTAAGTACCCATCATGTTCTCCAACTGCTGCCACACAGAGCACTACAGTCAGTATCTTGTGTAACCACCCCTGTGTAAGTACCCATCATGTCCCCCAACTGCTGCCACACACAGAGCATTACAGTCATTATCGTGTGTAACCACCCTCTGTAAGTACCCATCATATACTCCAACTGCTGCCACACAGAGCATTACAGACAGCATCTTGTGTAACTACCCCTGTGTAAGTACCCATCATGTACTCCAACTGCTGCCACACAGAGCACTACAGTCAGTATCTTGTGTAACCACCCCTGTGTAAGTACCCGTCATGTTCTCCAACTGCTGCCACACAGAGCACTACAGTCAGTATCGTGTGTAACTACCCCTGTGTAAGTACCCATCATGTTCTCCAACTGCTGCCACACAGAGCACTACAGTCAGTATCGTGTGTAACTACCCCTGTGTAAGTACCCATCATGTACTCCAACTTCTGCAACACAGAGCAACACAGTCAGTATCTTGTGTAACCACCCATGTGTAAGTATCACTCATTTTCTCCAACTGCTGCCACACAGAGCATTACAGTCAGTATCGTGTGTAACCACCCTCTGTAAGTACCCATCATGTTCTCCAACTGCTGCCACAGAGATCATTACACTCAGTATATTGTGTAACCACCCTTGTGTAAGTACCCATCATGTTCTCAAAAATGCTGCCACACATAGCACTACAGTCAGTATCGTGTGTAACTACCCCTGTGTAAGTACCCATCATGTTCTCCAACTGCTGCCACACAGAGTATAACAGTCAGTATCGTGTGTAACCACCCCTGCGTAAGTATCCATCATGTTCTCCAACTGCTGCCACACAGAGCATTACAGTCAGTATCGTGTGTAACTACCCCTGTGTAAGTACCCATCATGTTCTCCAACTGCTGCCACACAGATCATTACAGTCAGTATCTTGTGTAACCACCCCTGTGTAAGTACCCATCATGTTCTCCAAATTCTGCCACACAGATCATTACAGTCAGTATCGTGTGTAACCACCCCTGTTTAAGTACCCATCATGTTCTCCAACTGCTGCCACACAGATCATTACAGTCAGTATCGTGTGTAACTACCACTGTGTAAGTACCCATCATGTTCTCCAACTGCTGCCACACACAGAGCATTACAGTCAGTATCGTGTGTAACCACCACTGTGTAAGTATCCATCATGTTCTCCAACTGCTGCCACACACAGAGCATTACAGTCAGTATCGTGTGTAACCACCCCAGTGTAAGTACCCATCATGTTCTCCAACTGCTGCCACACAGAGCATTACAGTTAGTATCGTGTGCAGCCACCCCTGTGTAAGTACCCATCATGTTCTCCAACTGCTGCCACACAGATCATTACAGTCAGTATCTTGTGTAACCACACCTGTGTAAGTACCCATCATTTCTCCAACTGCTGCCACACAGAGCATTACAGTCAGTATCGTGTGTAACCACCACTGTGTAAGTACCCATCATTTCTCCAACTGCTGCCACACAGAGCATTACAGTCAGTATCTTGTGTAACTACCCCTGTGTAAGTACCCATCATGTCCCCCAACTGCTGCCACACACAGAGCATTACAGTCATTATCGTGTGTAACCACCACTGTGTAAGTACCCATCATGTTCTCCAACTGCTGCCACACAGAGCATTACAGTCAGTATCTTGTGTAACCACACCTGTGTGAGTACCCATCATTTCTCCAACTGCTGCAACACAGAGCATTACAGTCAGTATCTTGTGTAACCACACCTGTGTAAGTACCCATCATTTCTCCAACTGCTGCCACACAGATCATTACAGTCAGTATCTTGTGTAACCACCCCTGTGTAAGTACCCATCATGTTCTCCAACTGCTGCCACACAGATCATTACAGTCAGTATCTTGTGTAACCACCCCTGTGTAAGTACCCATCATGTTCTCCAAGTGCTGCCACACAGAGCATTACAGTCAGTATCGTGTGTAACCACCCCAGTGTAAGTACCCATCATGTTCTCCAACTGCTGCCACACAGAGCATTACAGTTAGTATCGTGTGTAGCCACCCCTGTGTAAGTACCCATCATGTTCTCCAACTGCTGCCACACAGAGCATTACAGTCAGTGTCTTGTGTAACCACCCCTTTGTAAGTACCCATCATGTTCTCCAACTGCTTCCACACAGAGCATTACAGTCAGTATCGTGTGTAACCACCCCTGTGTAAGTACCCATTAGTACCCATTAGTCAATATCTTGTTTTCACCAGGTTGACAATGACAGCCCTTGGTATGGCGTCCTGCTCCTCTCATCAGAGTACAAGATCGTGTGGCACATGGTGGCGTCTTCTGTAAACACGGTGTATTGACCATGGTGCTTTTGATGTGAATAACAATTTCATTGCGGATATAATAGAGTCTAAATGTCGAATAGTATCAGTGGTATACTTTCCCGAAAACCTTATCGACACGAAACTTCAGATTATGTGTATATTAGACGGAAGACGGTTTCTATTTCCATCTCATAAACACACACGTATATACGGACTCACACACATGCCAGGACTCTTCTTCTTGAAAAATATGCAGTTGGTGTGGTGTAAATCGGGATATCCCCGGAATTTTCTGGCAACTAAAAATGATCAACGTTGTTAATGTTATAGTTATAATTTCAAAGTTTGTGAATGTTACTAATGTGAGTGAGTGAGTTGGGTTTAACGCCGCTTTTAACAATATTAATGTAGGAGGAAAGCACGAATTGATGCAGGTCTCAGACGTTTACCACTTCGGTGAAACCCACGAGTACGGGTATGGTGCTAACAAACCTAGAAACATAATCAGGGCGAACCGGGATTCCAACCCACAATCATAGGTTTCTGGCGTGCCCAAGGGACGCAACTCTGCACAGCGAATCGCGGCGCCTTAGACGACTGGGCCACCCGTGCCCCCTGTTACTAATGCGATGGTTATCAATGTTATTGATTTCGAAATGGACACCCAATGCCATCTTATTTGATCTACGCCAATAGATACAGGCAATATGGAATTGAATATTCATAAAGGCTATTGGTCTCATCTTGCTTAGCGCACCACTCTATTAAGTGAGATAGGATCGT